GCTTTTAGTGAAGTAATTGTGAACCACCTTGCGCTAGTATGTGAGGGCAAAGTAGATTAATTATAACAGGAAAGTACAAGAATATATAGTGGTGTAAGGAATGTCAAAGGATACGGTTAGAACTTCTTTTACTGTTGCTGTTGCGGTTCGATACAGTACGACTCGGGCAACTGCTCTGTAACGAGTCAGTTGTATGTCCTTAACTGTCGCGCTGTACTTGTCGGGTCAAAGGTCAGCGACCTTTGACCTTCGCGTAACCTCCAGCAACCTCTTCAACCCCCGAGGGTTGACTCGCGGGTGCTTCGGTGTAGTTTGCCTCGCTTCTGATGCGGTGTTTTCGACACGACTGAAGCGCTTAGGTCTTATTGTTTCCAACACTCCCCTTCGCTTCTGGAGTGTCGCTGCTGGTGACGTGGCCCTGTCCAGTCAGCAGCATGCAATACTCGAACTTTTGCTTTCCGAGTTTCTTGGTCAAGTAGTCAGCTGCCATCTCGGATGTGGGGCAGTATGACAGCTCGAGTCTCCCCTTCTCGATCTCGTCCTTCACGAAGAAGTAACGTAGGGCAATATGTTTCGTCCTGTTCGCGAAGCCGTTCTTGTTGGCGATGCGAATTGCTGACTGGTTGTCGCAGAACACGTTAAAGTTGGGTAACTCGGCTAACTTCGCTTCTTCCAGTAGCTCGCGAAGATAGAGTCCTTCTTTGGTGGCTGAGCAGAGTGCGATATATTCTGCTTCAGCTGAAGATAGCGCGATTAACTCCTGCTTGCTTGACTGCCAGGAGATAGGACCGATAGGCTCGAGGCGGTAGACGTAGCCGGTGCGTGAGCGTCTGTTGTCAGTGTCGCCGGCGTGATCGGCATCGACGTAGCCGATTAGCTTGGTTGGTGTAGCTGCGTTCTTGTGATAAGTTAAGCCGATCATTGCGGTGCTGATAAAGTAGTGCAGAGCGCGGTCAAGTTCCGCCAGGTGTTCTGCTTCAGGCTTCTTGAGATAAGTGGCGAGCTGGCTTGCGGAGTAGGATAGGTCGGGTCGGCAAGTGACGGCTGCGAAGAGAAGGCAACCTAGCTTCCTCTGATAGTTGCGTATGCCGGCGGATTTAAGTGGGGTAGATTCCTTATCGGCTCCTGTCGTGTAGCGGTATGGTGTTGAAATCGCGGCTGGCGTAATTCCGAATCGTTTGGCGATGGTGTCGGCGTACTTTTCGGCGCTGAGGTAGATCGCGTCGTTATCTTCTCGAATGTTAAGTCCGAGATACTGTGTGACGGTAGATGAGACAGTGAGGGTGAGGTCCCTCTGCAGCTCCCCTTCGAACCAGGTGGTGATGCTGTCGGTAGAGCCGATGTAGAGAAGATCGTCCACGTAGACAATTAGCAAGATGTAGTCGCTGTTCTTCGTGAGGCGGTACATGCCCTGATCGTGCGGGAGTTGTTTGAAGCCGATGCGGATGAGACGAGTATGCAGGTACTGCTGCCACAGTCGCGGTGCCTGCTTGATCCCGTAAAGCGATTTTAGTAGCTGGCAGACGTGCGTGGAATTTGTGTTGGAGCCGTGCGGTAGTTCCACGAAAATCTCTGCATCGACCGGTGCGTAGAGAAAAGCGTTTGCGACGTCGATTTGGCGCAGTTTCTTTTTCTTCATAGCGGCGATGGCGAGAAGAATTCGAAGTGAAGTGTGGCGGCTGACCGGAGCGAAGGTTTCGGTGAAGTCTCGTCCATGTTCCTGGTCAAAGCCGCGAACGACCCATCGTGCTTTAAACTTGTCGATGGTGCCGTCGGCCTTCGTCTTCACACGGAAGACCCATTTCCCGGTAAGAATGGTCTTGTTTCGCGCTACACCGATGGGAACGACTTTCCAGGTGTTGCGTTCCTCTAATGCCTTCAGCTCCTTGTCCATGGCTTCGCGCCATTTTTCTTTATGCTCCCCCCCCAGAGCCTGTTGAACTGTCGCAGGCTCCTTAGGAATGTTGACGCCGTGGACCGCGGTGACGAGACCAAGGATTTGGAGTCCGCTCTGTGTGTAGCGGGGGAGTGTGGTGTCCTCGGGATAGACTGCTTCGTCTCCAGTTTCTGGATCGGGTGTGAAGTTGGGCCCTATGCGTTCTGCTTCGTTGGTGTTGACTTCAGCAGGTGTAACGTAACCGTTGTCGGCGAAGTGGTAGTAAGTTTCGGCGTTGACGCTTTCGCGAGGGTTTTCTTCGTCCATCGGTACGTCCACTGAGCAGTAGGGAAGAGGTCCGGCTTCTTCCGAGGCTCCTTCCACATTCTGCTCGTCCCAGTCAGCTTCGTCTTCTGTCGAAGCGAAGGCTCGATCGCCACGGAAGCCGCCTGTGGGGTCTCGATTTTCGTCCAGGTTGGCAAGGTACGTTGGCAGTGTGAGTCGTTCGTAGAAAATCACGTCACGTGCTGCTACTGTTTCTTTGCTGTTGATATCGAAGATCTTCCATGCGTTGTAATGTTTTTCGATGCCCAGGTGTAGTCCCCACTGTGCGCGTTGGGAGAATCGGCCGGCTCGTGCAGATGGGGGTCGGTACTGTACCATGCAGCCGAAGACTCGTAACATTTTTGTGCTGCCCAGTTTTCCTGTCCACAGCAGATGCGGTGATGTGTTGTTCGGGAGTGACGACGAAGAAAGCAAGTTGTGCAGCATCACGGCGTGGTCCATTGCTTCGGGCCACTGGTGGTTGGGTAGCCGCATGCCACGTAACAGTTTGCGCATGGTGTTCTGCAGAGTCCTGTTCATCCTTTCTGCTACACCCTGCTGTTGATGGGCGTAGGGAAGGGAGATGAGTCTCTTGATTCCCTTCTCCGCCAGGTACTGCTTGAATCGCTGTGACGAGTATTCTCCTCCTCCGTCTGATTGGAAGCTTTTGAGTTTAGCTCCCGATTCCCGTTCTGCTGCTGGAAGCCATGCCACGAAAGCCTCGAAAGCCATGTCGCGACTTGGTAAGTTTAGGTGCCAGACGTAGCGTGTAGCGGCGTCGATGAAGGTGATGGTGTAGTTATACGCGTTTTGTCCGGGTTCGCGGTTGTACAAGATGTCGCTGTATACTTTCTCGAGTGGTACATATGCAGGTGATGTATTAATGTGTACTCTGACACACCCCCTAGGCTTGGTAAGAAGAAAAGAAACATTTTAATAGTGGGTTTCTTCATAAGACGGTCAAAGCGCGCCTGACAAATCTGACCATGTACAAATCGCATTTCTTGTGGAGGACGAATGCGATTCGGCCAGGGTGGCAGGTCCAGCCAGAGTTTCAAACTTTCGACGACAACCTGCCTGTTGGGGCAAAAGCGGGGAAATGTGTGAAAATTCTGCTATTGGGGTTGCTGGTGTGTTCAGCTGGCTGGTCAGCTGAATCCAAGTGCCCCACTTTCAAGCTTTTTTCCTCATGGTTACAGCTCTTGCTGATATGTCTCCGCTGCTCCCGATGCGCTTTTGGAGGACTTCGAAGTAAACTACGCAATACAAACTTCAAACTACTGACCTAACCAGCCGTTCCAGCGAATGAGGTTATGTAATTATAAGTGATGCTGTTGGTCCTTCAAACTCGCCGCGACTCGTAGCTCCTAGTAGCGATGGAATCCTCAACTCCCAGCCATGCAACGCATAACGATCACGGCAGCAGCGGCACGCCGTACGGTGGCAACAGCGTCGTGACGCGATCGCGAATGCACCGATCGCACTCTTTCACCGGAGCGGCCAACCCGCATATGCATCTCCTGCACAGAATAGAACACCCGTTACTGTCACCCTCGGCCTCGGCCAATCCCCCGCTAGCCTTCGTCCTCTGCACTGTTTCGCTCTTCCCAGTCGCGTCGCTAAAAGGCCGCCAGTCGTTATTCGGATGGCTGCTGCTCGCGTCGTCTCTCACGTGTCTCTTCTTCTTCTCCGGCTTTAATCACCTTCACCTGCGCGTCCGCTCCGCCGCCTCCGCCGCCTCCTCCCGCGCCACCCCCGCGTCGCTGCCTCCGCTCACCCGCGAGGAGTATTGCGCGTCCCCGCCTGCTGCGCGGGGCGCCTCGCGCGGAGAAGCTCCGGAGTCGGTGGTTCGACGGTGGTCGGAGGGGAGCAGCGGCGACGGGTCTGCGCGGCTCCGGGGGAACTCCCCTAGCGGCGCACCATCGAGCAGAGCGATGGACGCCGTTGGGGGAGTGGGAGAACGGCAACAAGGGAATTCGCCGATTTGCTCAAAGTGCAGGTGAGTCACACGCCTAAGGATGCACGTGCGCAGGCGACACACGCACATGGAACAGAGACACACTTTTTGGTCTCGTAGGGATGTGACACCTTCTGTTTTCGCTTGCCACGCCTTATAATCATGATGTAAAGCTTTTGTCTCTTCTTCACCACCTTCGGTCGCGTACATCCCCGCATCCCCGCATCCTCACGTTCTCTCTTCCGCTCCACCCACGGCCCCATCAGAACGCTCCAGTCCGTCCTCGAGGCGGCCGTGCACTCCGCTATTACCGCTGCTGCCGTCGCCAACGAAACTTCTGCAGTCGGCGGGGGCGGCGAGACGATCACTGACGGCATGGCGGCGGGGAACGCGGATGACGCGGAGTCCGCGTCGCCCGCGCAGCTGCTGGCGCGCGCGGCGCGGCGGTCTGTGATCGTGGTGTCGTTCAACGAGGCGTGGGCGCCCATGATGCGCTTCTTCCTCGCGCGCCTGCGCGCCGTCGAGCGCGCGGAGCAGAACGCGCGCGACCAGAGGAGGACGGAAGGGGAGGAGAGGGGAGGAGAGGAGGGGAGCGGGAAACTGGAGAGGAGGACGGGAGAGGAGATCCGGAGGCGCGAAGGGGTTGAAGGAAAAGAAAGGCGAGGCGAGCGGAGGACAGCGGAGGGAGGTGAGAGGGGGGGCGACGAAGATGGAGAGGGGGAGACAGGTGCGGAAGAGGGCGCGTATAGGTCTGCGCTGGGAGAGCTGGTGGCGCGGCTGGTGGTGGTGGCTTATGACCACGCGAGCTTCGAGGCGTGCTGCGCCATGGGGCTCAACTGCTACATGGACTGGCAGGACGACGCTCCTCACAGAGAGGACCTGGGCGGCGGACAGAAGCACTTCATGACGCGCGCTTACATACACCTGGTAGGGACTTGATTATGTGCACTTGATGTGTCGCATGTATATGCACCTGGCGGTGTGGGACTACATACACTTGGTTTATGGCATTTATATTCACTTGATGTGTTCCCATACCTACACTCAGCGAGGCTTCATGTACATCCATGTACCAGCCACACACCCTCTCCTCCACGTCATCCATGCTTCACTTGTGTTGTCCCATCCTGGCCTGGCCATTACCATGCACGTGTGGTGCAACGTGCAGGTGGTGGCAAGCATGCTAGCACTGGGCTACGCTGTGCCCTTCTTACCACACAGGCTATCCTCCCCATTATTCACTCCTGCTGCGTCACCTCGGGGTTTGCCAGTGTTACTAATGGCCATGCTGGCACTGAGCTACGCCGTGCTCTTCACCGACTCCCACATCCTCCCCCTGCTCTGCTTGCCCATCACCCATGATCCAACTCCCTCCACGCACCTTCCTCCTCCCCTTCTGCATCCCCACCCGGTCTTGCTATTGCCATTGGCACTGCCATGCAGGTGGTGGCAAGCATGCTATCGCTGGGCTACAACGTCCTTTTCACCGACTCCCACATCAACCATGCTCCAACCCGTTCCCCCTGCTCTGCCTGCCCATCAACCATGCTCCAACCCGTTCCCCCTGCTCTGCCTGCCCATCAACCATGCTCCAACCCGTTCCCCCTGCTCTGCTTTCCCATCAACCATGCTCCAAGTTTCTCACACTCACCATCCTCCTCCCTTTCTGCATCCCCATCCGACCTTCCTGTTGCGCTGCTGCTGGTGGTACTGCAATGCTGCCACTGCCAGCCATGCAGGTGTGGCGCAAGGTGGCGGTGGTGGCGCACATGCTAGCACTCGGCTACGACGTGCTCTTCTCCGACTCCCACATCCTCTGCCTGCGCTACCCACTCCCCCTGCTCTGCCCGCCCCTCAGTCATTCACATCCCTCTCACACCCCTTATTCCTCTCCTGCCAGGTGTGGCGCAAGGTGCAGGTAGTAGCAAACATGCTCGCGCTGGGCTACGACGTGCTCTTCAGCGACTCCGACATCCTCTGGCTGCGCAACCCACTGCCGCTGCTCTGGCGCCGCCCACACGACCTGCAGATGTCCGCCGACTGGTGGTCGCCCAACCCGCGCTCTGTTGTGGCCAATGGGGGGTTCTATGCCGCACGGGCCAACAGTCGTACGCTCCGGTTCTTCCAGGACTGGCTGGCCTGGCACAGAAGGTAGGAGTTGGAGTGGCTTGGTTTTGTTGCGCCCAATGGGGGGGTCTATGATGCCGCCCGCGCCAACACCCGCACACTGAAGTTCTTCAGTGGCTGGGTGGCGTGGCACTCAGTGTGAGCAGTGGGTATCACATCACATGTTTGTTCATGTATGTTGCCTTGTAACTGTCTGGATCATGCCTATTGCATCACAGATATCACCCACCCCTGTTCCCCCTTCACACGTCTCCAGCTCCACATACAGCAGGTCGGCAGCATTACCCCCGTGTGTGTTCATCGTTGTGTTTCGTCATACTCCATGCGACTACCTCCCCCTTTTCTCTTCCTCCCCCAGGTGTCCGCAGTTCCGCATACAGCAGGTGTTCAACTGGATTCGCCCCGAGGCCAACCCCTTCACACGCGTGGCCTCGCCGCTGCTGCTGCGCTACCTGCCCACCAACCAGTTCGGGGGCTTCTGTGAGATGGGCCACTCGCTCTCCACGCTGCTCACCGTGCACGCCAACTGCTGCCCAGGGCTGGGAAACAAGCTGCCCGTGCTCAAGCAGCTCGCGGCTGACTTTGACTTTTTTTCGGCGCTGCCCGTGGCTGCCCGGGAGGGGATGGAGGAGAGGGGGTTTGAGTGGAAGGGGCGGAACTGCTCGTCCAACTGGAACAAGCTGCCCCGCGACACACCCGTGGAGGCATCATAGCGGACACGCCCTTTTATAGCCCTTTTTCCTGGCTTCAAACTACACCCATGAAGTCGTGAAGTCGTGAGAGGGCATGGCTTCACTGTATGCGGCACATCCCTGCAGGGAGGGATGGTAAGGCGCGAAGACGCTGTCCAGACTACATAAATAATGCGCCCTCCTCGGTGCTCACCTTCAGGTCTGAGTTGATACCTCTAATTGGCGAAGTCCCCAAGACCCATTCCCAGCCGGAGTGGGCTGCCTTCCGAACTGAACATAACCCAGGTCAGGGGGGTCTAGTTTCAGTGCGGAGGGTCACTCTGAGTGGCACTGAGTATTTTTCAGAACAGAAAGGATATCTTAAATTCTTAAGACAAATAGTGCTTGCGTTGTATCTATGTCCCGCTCTTTTTTCCTGCAGGGAAACCTTGCAGCGGTCAGATTACGGTAGGCTTGACGAGGGGCAGTCTAGTGGAGTATTGAAATCGTATCAAGAAAGTTCTTGAATGTTCTGAGGAAGCTATCCTAAATCAAACCCAAAATTTTATTTCAGCTTGAGTGGACGCCAGAGGCTATGAACGATGTGAGTGTACCACAATGCGAGTTGGTCCAGTCACGGTGGCGGAGGGGAAGGTGTGGTTGTGCTGCTGGGAAGGGAATTCTGGTTGACACATTTCTGCAGCTGCATGTCCCAGTTCTGCTGCACAAGGAATTTCATTCCTTTTAATCCAACCATGTTATAGGTGTAACCCTTCGAGCTGAGTATAGTTCCGTATTGCCAAACGCACAGATCCCCGTTCTCGTCCCCACCCCCGTCGCGCCAGCCAGGCTTCTGATCGGGGTCTGTAGCAGCTTCGGTAATTTCGTGCGCGAGAGTTGAAATCATGGCGTCTATAGCGGGGTTGCTATTGGGGGAGGGGCTCCTCACACCGCACGCGCTGGGACACCGGCCAGGGTGGCCTACGAACGCGTAGTACAATGGGGAGGATCCGATACGGCCCACCGTGTGCCATCCGCAGTACTGGCTGCAGAAGCCCGACGTTAGAGTCACGTCCTTGCTCGATAAAAGAATGTAAATCCCGTGCGGGTCGTACGTGAAGGCCTTGCCAGATCCAATCTTGCTCTTCACGGCTGAGATGGAACGTCGGGATTTGCATAAAGAACAAAGTTTAGTCGAAGCGACTACTACGCCAGCAACACTCTCAAGAATGGTGAAATCACACAGTACCAAGCCAGCAGGCGGCGAACAGCGTTCCGAAGGCGACAAGATCACGGGAAGATGGAGAGGGAAGAATTTGTGCAAAGACTAATGGAATCTCCTCCCGCCCCCCACCCCGTGGGAAACTACATCCCTGCCAGTGGCAGGCATCAAAACAGCGAACCCTTTCTAGGAAAGAACGACTTCTTGAGGCGGTTCATAAGCAAGGTCGGAGAGAAAGCGCTTACTGGAGAACACATTTTTGTCGGTGAGAGTCTGGCCGTACGTATAGTTGTCGTATGTCGTCCCCGCGAGCCGCACCGTGGAGCTCACGTTCTGCTTTGCCCCGGCGCTGCTCGACTGATAGTAGTTCGACGTTATCGCCCACCTCCCCTTCACCGTCGGATCGCTCGACGAGCCCTGCGCGCCCGAGTCGCTACTTAAAGACTGAACAAAGTTTTCGATGTAGTCCTGCCCGGAGCCCAATGGCCAGCTGCCGTAGTAGATAAGGTAAATGTTCACCGTCGGGTTTCCGACGACGAGGGGGCCTCCCATGTACTTAATGGGCCCGCCGGTCGCGGCGGGGGTTACGGAGCCGCGGAGCTGATGAAGCTCTTGGAGATCAAAGCTGCGGCTCGCGCTCGAAGGCGCTGCGCGTGGGTTTGAACGGTCCGGGAGATTCTTTATGGCAAATGAGGTGCGCCTGACGAGAGGACGGCGTGGGAGGAGAGGAGCAGGAGGAGAAAGGGGAGCAGAGGGGTCCCGGCCATCGTGGATGTGCGGAAGCGTGGGATGGCAAAGAAGAGCAGGCGATGGGCAGAGACGTGGAACGGTGGGACGAATGGAAACGACTTATGTATCGAAAAGATTGTGCACGTGAGACGTGCACGTGCCAATCGAAATGCGCCGATTGGGTTGCTGGAGGATTGGCATTGCTGCTACGGACATCGGACTGGGACCTTTCTGGGTGTTCGTGGGCGATTTTTGCGCACTTGGGTTGCAAATCGCAGGCAATGCTGGGTGACGATTGCAGGCCAACAGAACCCACCTGAAGCCAGCGAGTTGGGCGGACAGATCCACGCAATTTTTATGCCACCGCGAAAAGCACTGGTGACGGAGTTCGCAGCTAATCAATGTACAGTATTCCTAGACTCGCTATTTCGCCGCAGCGCAAATTTTTTCCCGCCTAAATCTTGTGCGGCCAGGAGAGAGATTCGCCCCCCCCCCTGACGCCCTGCGCTTATGCCGCAGCTTCATTCGGAGGTACGTTACGGAGGGGGAGGGGATTTCGGTGCGGTATTTTCGTCCCGGCTGTGATTCCGAGGGCGTGCTGGTTATTTCTACCAGCTCTCGCTAATGTCGTCGAGACTTTCGCAAGTCAGCCTATTTGTTGCTGTCCACTCTGTAGAACACTTCGAGTTCGGATTCATACACTCACTACTTTTTCATACTTCGGAAAAAACATACAGTTGCACAATCTCGAATATTTTGGCCACGCGATTTTGTCGCACATGTACGAACGTCTGCGACCACAACATGTGTGCCGCTTGGCGGGAATGCCAAGCACAGAAGCCGCGTCGACATACTGAAACTTTCTTCTTCTTTCTTTCTTTTCGTGTGCATCCTTTGCAAATCTGGGGAACAATCCTAAAAAATCAAGTGTGCAACACTTGATCACCATTTTGAGTTCGGTTATTTCTCTACCACAGCCGCCGTTAGCGATTTTCTTGGAAACTTGGTGTCGTCCATGGATTTTCTGCCTTGGCTCACTTCACTTGACCTCCGATGTTGTGCAGGTCACTGTGCTCCTTACTATCCTACAGTTTCCCTAAAAACGCCTTGCTTCCTATGAGTGTTGTTTGATGGCTGTGTGGCTGGGCAGCATGGGAAGGCAGGCATTCACTCATCATCGCTCTCCTCCTCCTCGGCTTCCTTCAGCCACTGTGGAGGGCAGACAGGTAGCACGGAGGACAGAGCAGCAGACGGCAGAAATGCACATGGGGCATAGCAGCACAGAGGGCAGGGCAGCAGAGGGAGCAGAGAAGAGTAGAGACGGAAGAGCAGCAGAAGGGGAACAGCAGCAGAGGGTAAATAGCGGAGCAAAAAAGTAAGTTAGCAACATGTACGGTGGGGGTCGGGGTGAGCTGGAGTGGTGGCACGAGGACGGTTAGCGAGGCAAGAAGGTGAGAGAGCAAAACTAATGGGACATGGGGCACAAGAGAGATGGAGGGGAAGATAGCAGTGAATGGAGAGGGGGGAGGGCAGGGGACGGATAGGGGAGAGGCAGGGCATGGGCGGGTGGGGACAGGACAACAGGAGGGCCAGCAAGATTAGTGAGAACCAATTCCATTCCTGGGAAGACGTTCATCTGCACCGTTCATCTCACCTTGATGAACGCTGCAGATCGCTCGACAAAGACCTTGTCAGCAGCATCGGCGAACTGCTTCTCATCCGCCCACGCCATGACGGCCTCCTCGCTCACTATGTCCCTGTCGTACAGCGCCTCCAGCACCTGAGGATGAAAGGGGGTGCGAGTTTGATGGCACCAAGGCACAGGGGAGTGAGGGGGCGGATTGCCAAGACGGCCTCCTCGCTCACTATGTCCCTGTCGTACAGCGCCTCCAGCACCTGAGGATGGGAGGGGGTGCGAGTTTGATGGCACCAAGGCACAGGGGAGTGAGGGGGCGGATTGCCAAGACGGCCTCCTCGCTCACTATGTCCCTGTCGTACAGCGCCTCCAGCACCTGAGGATGGGAGGGGGTGCGAGTTTGATGGCACCAAGGCACAGGGGAGTGAGGGGGCGGATTGCCAAGACGGCCTCCTCGCTCACTATGTCCCTGTCGTACAGCGCCTCCAGCACCTGAGGATGGGAGGGGGTGCGAGTTTGATGGCACCAAGGCACAGGGGAGTGAGGGGGCGGATTGCCAAGACGGCCTCCTCGCTCACTATGTCCCTGTCGTACAGCGCCTCCAGCACCTGAGGATGGGAGGGAGCAGGAGGGAAGCAGCAAAGGGGACGGGGGGAATGGGAGGAGTGCGCTGCCATGACTGCCTCCTCGCTCACTATGTCCCGGTCGTATAAGCCTATAAGGCCTCTAGGATCTGAGGATGGGAGTAGCGGCACACAGTGAAAGAAGAGGCGGGCAGAGCTTACATGAAGAGCAGAGCATACATGGGGAGAGAGAGCAGAGAACGGATGAGGAATGAGCAAATGGAGTGTGGAGCCCGAGTGGGTGGCAGGCACGCAGACATGCAAGAGACGGGCGGAGAACTGAGTGACTGGCAAACTTCTCACACTGCCCACCGCTTATGATTCTTTGGGTGGCACTCACATTGACAAAGATGGGGGCGAGCTCGGGGCGCCCCTCGTTGCACACCTCCTCAAACGTTAACAGAACCTCCACCTGCCCCGGGGGGGAACGGGGGGTGTTGGAAGGGGGTGGAGGAGTGTTCAAAAGGGGGATGAAAGGAGGGGGGAGAAAGAGGGGGTGAAGTTGTGAGAGTGAGAAAAAGACGAAAGGGGGTGTGGTTGTCAGAGGGGGAAGAGGGGAGTTGGCGGTGAGTACAATAAGGGGGAAATGGCAGAGATAGGTAGGGGATGGGATTGCAAGGAGGGGAGGAGACATGATGCAGAGGAAGTGGCAATGTAAGCCGGAGTTTCTCCCTTTCTCCCTTGCCCCTTCCACGTACCCCTGTAGACACCAATCCCGCCCCTCCCTGTCCCCAAACGCGTGTCTCCACCTCGTGTACGGCTCTCATCGCCAGCGAGCGCCCTTCCAAGTCCTTCCCTCGCACCTCACACCTCAACCCTCGTGCACCCAACGCCCCTGTCTGTATGACCATTCTTGTGCCCCATACAAAGCCCCTCTCCTATCCCCTCCCCCTCCCTCACCCCCTCCCCCACCCCCTCCCCCACCCCCTCTCCCACCCGCTCTCCCTCCCCCCTCCCCCACCCCCTCTTCCTCCCCCACCCCCCCACCTCCCCCTCCCCCTCTCCATTCCCCTTCCCATTTCCAACCCCCACCCCCTCCCCCCCCCCCCCCCCCCCCCCCCTCCCCCTCCCCCTCCCCTCGCCTCGCCATCGCCCTCGCCATCCCCCTCCCCCTCCCCCTCCCCCTCCCCCTCCCCCTCCCCCTCCCCCTCCCCCTCCCCCTCGCCCTCGCCATCGCCCTCGCCATCCCCCTCCCCCTCCCCCTCCCCCTCCCCCTCCCTTCCCCTTCCCCTCCCCTCCCCCTCCCCCTCCCCCTCCCCCTCCCCCTCCCCCTCCCCCTCCCCCTCCCCCTCCCCCTCCCCCTCGCCATCCCCCACCCCCACGGCAGAGCACGCACCTCGTCGTCGGTGCCCTTGAGGAACCTTCTCAGAAGCGACGTCCATCGAGTCACCACGGCACGCGTGGATGCCAGTAGCTCCTCTGAGCAGCGCGGATGGACGGCCAGGGCGCGCGGGGGGCAGGGAAGACAGGGCGCAGGGCGGGCAGGGGCAGGGAAGACAGGGCGCAGGGAAGACAGGGCGCAGGGAAGACAGGGGCAGACCGGGAGGGTAGGAAGGGGGCAGGGTCAGGGTGAACAGGGGCAAGGGGTGAGGGGGCAGGGGCAGGGCGGGAGGGCAAGAATAGGACAGAGACAGGGTCAGCAGGCAAGGGGTGAGAGAGCAGGGGCGTGGAGGATGGATGGGCGGAAGGGGGGAAGACAGACAGGGGAGCGGATGGGCAAGGAAGATGGGCAAGCGGAGCAAGAGGTGGGGCAGGGCAGGGATAGGTGGGAGAGCAGGGAGGCGAGGAACGCTAAGGAGAGAGGCAGATGAAGCGCAGGGGTGGAGAGTTGGTTGGAGTGCAAGAGGACAGGTGGAGGGGGGGATGTGCACGTGACTCCACCCATGACAATGTTCTCTTAGGCAGGTGCACTCACTGGTGGGTGCCCCGGGAGTGGTCTGCGAGGCAGCGAGGTTGAGCATGCCTCGGAACATGGCGCCCGCACAGTCTGCAAAGGACCGGTTGTATGCCAGCCTGGCAGGCGCGACAGGGGGGAAGAAGGGTGAGAGAGTTGAGGAGAAGGCAGAGAGGGGAGAGAAGGGAGAGAGGGGGAGAGAGGGAAGGAGAGGAGAAAGAGGGAGAGAGGAGAGAGATGGAGAGAGTTAGAGAGCGATTAAGAGAAGAGAAGAGAGATGGAGAGAGGGGGAGAGAGATGGAGAGCGGGGAAGAAAGTGGGGGTCAGGAGGATGGGTATAATTGGTTGTATGCCAGCCAGACTGGCACGGACAGCAAGTGGGGGAGGAGGGGAGCGAGGAGGAAGCAAGGATGCGCAGTGAGAGAATAAGCCGCAGCAAGTGAAGGCAACAGGGGGGAGTTGAGAGGAGAAATGGGTGTATGCCAGACCAGGACACTGCTACAAGCTGGTGACTCACCTGAGTGCGTTGACTCACCTGAGCGCGTTGACTCACATTGACCCGCATTGACCACTCACTTGAGCGCATTGACCTCCAGCACCACGTTGTCTTGAGCCACCCCCTCCGCCACGGCCCGCTTGAACATCTCCTCCACCTGCCATGCCATGCCATGCCATGCCATGCCATGCCATGCAACCATGAACCATCAAGAGACTCATGGATCAACAAAAAATAAAACATGCCACAGGCTAAGCGTCATCCCCATGGCAGCACATGCCCATGGCACTACACGCTGTCACGTCATCATCCATCCTACAATCATCCACCAAACCCCATTGCAGATGCAGTGCTAATGGATTCCCTCCTCCCCTTTGCGTTCCCCTCATTGCATTTTCCTCTCTTTCCCCACTACATCACCCTGCCTCCCTTTCCCACATCACTCTCAGCCCTCGTCCCATCTCCGCTCCCACCATCCTTCCCACCACACCACCCCTCCTCCCCACCCGCCTCACCTCTTTGCTAAACTCGTCCTCCCCATCCTCCTCCTCTTCATCTTCCTCTTCCTCCTCCTCCCCTCCCACCAGTGCCGCCCCTCCTTCCTTCCCTGTCTCCTCCTCCCCCTCCTCCCCCTCACCCTCCTCCCGTCCAACAGCCAGTCTTGCCAGCTCAGCGAGTTCGAGCGCTGTGATTGGTGCAAGTGACTGGCGCCGCACCACGGCTGCTGCAGCGGGCGTTCTGGGCGGCCAGGCGAAGCCCCTGCCGCCCTCGCCCACCTGCCAGCACGGGAGGACAGGAGGGGAGGGTCGGAGAGAGGAAGGGGGAGGACGAGAAAGGGAGGGCGGGACGAAGGAGGGGGAGGGGAGGGTGTGGAGAAATGGCGGGCGGGATGAAGGGTGGGTTTGATGCAGAAACAAAGGTAGTTCTCTCAACTCCTTGTTGGGATGTGGAGAGGGAAGAGCGACAACAAAAGGTGCAAGGTGCTACGGGGGCAGTGGAAAGGAGAGAGGTGGGAATGGGTGAAGTAAGGAGGAAGAGACGTAAGAAAGAGTGAGTCACGACCTGCCATGCCGTGCCATGCGTGCGGTGGCAAGGCATGGCATGCCATCACATCCCCTCTGGGCCCGTTGACCCATGTCAGAACAGCACGCATGCAGAAATATGGCTAATGGACACATGGATGGACATTTTAAAAAACATGTACGCCAAGAGCACTGCCAGCACATCCCATGGCACTCACAGCTTGCACATCACATGCACCCTCGTCTTCATCCTCCTCCTCCTTCTCCTCCTCCTCTCCCTCCTCATCCTCCTCCTCTTCCTCCTCCTCCTCCTCCTCATCCTCCTCCTCATCACCTCGCTTCTTTCTGCGGGCCGAAGGTGGGGCTGATGCGCAAGAGGTGAACGACAGAGAACACAGGGCAACCACACACACACCACACAAAAACAGCAAAGTGTGAAGTTGAGACAACAATAGAATTTGCCAATGACTTATCCTGTCGGATTTATGCCAATTAAAGGTTCATGCCATCATACAAAAGAGAATCTACATCGCACTATAATGATGCCTCTTCTTGGCTGCTCTTTGTTCTCATCATCACACCCTGACATGGCATACCAGTGACACCTGCACCATCCTATCCCACCTGTTTCCTTGTACCCTGCACTCACCCATGCCGTGCCCCTCTGTGTTCTCATCATCGCTGCCCTCCTCCTCAGGCTGCTGCTCCCTCGCTATGCGTGTGCCAGCTGGCACCACGTGATTGGCTGCCACCACCACCTACTATGGGAGAAGGGAAGGACAGAGGGGTGAAGCGGGTGAGGGAGAGAATCGCATGTATGTGCACGCACGCATCACGCATCCTGTGTGAGTGCGGTGTGCGTGCGTGAGTGCGTGTGTGTGTGTGGTGTGTGTGTGTGGCAGTGGGTGGGTGTGGGAGGGGGTGTGGGTGTGGTTGTGAGTGTGCGTGAGCATGTGCACGCGCGCATCACGCGTCCTCTGTGCGTGAGTGCACGCGCGCGCGCGCGTGCATGTGTATGTGCCATGTGCCAGTGGGTGGGTGGGTGTGGGTGTGGGTGTGGGTGTGGGTGTGCACGTGCATGAGCATGTGTGTATTTGTGCGTGTGCGAGTGAGTGCGCGCGTGTGTGCGAATGGGTGAAAGGACGGGAGGCGATTGGCAACGTGCCAATGGACACCATGTCGCCCCTCCACACCACTCCCCTGTATGCCCGATGCACACATGCACACATGCACACATGCACACATGCACACATGCACACATGCACACATGCACACATGCACACATGCACACATGCACACATGCACACACACATGCCCACATGCCCACATGCACACATGCCCACATGAACACATGCCCACATGCCCACATGCCCACATGCCCACATGCCCACATGCCCACATGCCCACATGCCCACATGCCCACATCACCACATGCCCACATGCCCACATGCCCACATGCCCACATGCCCACATGCCCACATGCCCACATGCCCACATGCCCACATCACCACATGCCCACATGCCCACATGCCCACATGCCCACACCACAATCACGCACATCAAAGGGGAGCACACAGCCGGGGGGGTTCACGGTGCCCCCAGCCATAACCTGCACCCCGTCACACAGCACCACCTCATCCGCACACCCCCATTCCAGCACCAAAGGAGTGCACGCACATCAAATGAAAGCACGCAGCCGGGGTTGACCCTTCCCCCAGCCATGACCTGCACGCCATCGCACAGCACAGCGTGCCGCACCACCGCGCCCGCGCCCACCGTGACGCCGCCCCACAGGAAGCTGCCTTCTACCACGGCCCCCTCGCCCACCAGGCAGTGCGCGCCCAGCACTGACCTGCGCACCACCGCCCTCTCCGCCACCACCGTGCCCTCCCCTAAGAGCGTGTCCGCGCCTATCACTGCTGACCTCGCCACTGACACCGCTGCACGTGGTTGGGTTGGGGGCATGGATGGGAGAGGGAGGAGTGGGGGAAAGAAGGGAGATGGGGGCATGGAGGGGAGGGGAGGAGAGGATGGGACAGGGCTTGCAGATTAGAGCGAATTGGGTGTGAAGCAGTGAGCGTCCAGATCCGTCTGTTGTTCAGGTTCACCAAACCCCCCCACCCTCGCCTCGCTCACCTTCCTTGAACCTTCCCCACACTGTTTTCGCACTTGCTCTTACCTTCCTCGCGGTACCGGTTGCCGCGGGTGACGGCGGTGCGGCCGCTGTGGGCACCGAAGGCACAGTCGGGCGCGAGGGGGAAGGCCCAGCGCCGCAGCACGTCCCGTGTCACCGCTGCGTACGCCCGCAACGTGTCGATGCGGGCGGCGTACTGCGATTTGATCTCGTGCGTGTAGATCTTGTTGCCCATGATCTGGGGAAGCAGTGGGGCAACGGGGCAGGGGGGCAAGAGGGCAGGGGGGCAAGAGGGCAGGGGGGCAAGAGGGCAGGGGGGCAAGAGGGCAGGGGGGCAAGAGGGCAGGGGGGCAAGAGGGCAGGGGGGCAAGAGGGCAGGGGGGCAAGAGGGCAGGGGGGCAAGAGGGCAGGGGGGCAAGAGGGCAGGGGGGCAAGAGGGCAGGGGGGCAAGAGGGCAGGGGGGCAAGAGGGCAGGGGGGCAAGAGGGCAGGGGGGCAAGAGGGCAGGGGGGCAAGAGGGCAGGGGGGCAAGAGGGCAGGGGGGCAAGAGGGCAGGGGGGCAAGAGGGCAGGGGGGCAAGAGGGCAGGGGGGCAAGAGGGCAGGGGGGCAAGAGGGCAGGGGGGCAAGAGGGCAGGGGGGCAAGAGGGCAGGGGGGCAAGAGGGCAGGGGGGCAAGAGGGCAGGGGGGCAAGAGGGCAGGGGGGCAAGAGGGCAGGGGGGCAAGAGGGCAGGGGGGCAAGAGGGCAGGGGGGCAAGAGGGCAGGGGGGCAAGAGGGCAAGGATTGGTGAGATGAAGTGGGGGAGTGCAGGATGGCATATGGATGACAGTGTGTGGGAGAAGCGGGTGGTGTGTGCATGGATGGAGGGAGGGATCACAGAGCAGAGCATCCCAGGGAAACAGATAGCATGGCGACACTTCATAGTGACACAAGCTCGCAAGGCGGCAGCGTGCTACGATAGCATGGCACAGGACCATCATTGCATGGTGACAGCATAGCATTAATAACAGCATGATATGAGACAAAGATGCCAGCAGGGGCAGTTTGGTGGGTGTGGGCGGGAGTCTGGCATCAGCAGCCATGGGTGTGTTGACTGGTGGGTCAACTCGGGCTGCCAATGAATTCAGCCCGCCCTTGGGGCCAGTGACCTGGCCCCCACCGGTGTGGGCACAGCTCATGACGTCATCACATGTGATGACATGAAAGGAAAAGGGAGGAATATCGGTTCTCACTTCCTTTGGTGCTGTGGCGTTGGTTGTGTGCGTGTGGGGCTATGAGAGACGAGGCGATAGGAGGTGCAACACATGAGGTGATCCAGGGAGGATGGATGCATGCGTCATCATTGAGAATGCTCACGTCATCATTGAGAATGCTCACGTCATCATTGAGAATGCTCACGTCATCATTGAGAATGCTCACGTCATCATTGAGAATGCTCACGTCATCATTGAGAATGCTCACGTCATCATTGAGAATGCCGCGCAGGAAGTCTCGCCTAGGGTGCTGGTAGTCAAAGTTGTCCGTGTAGAGGTACAGCACCTCGGGCGCACATATGTCTATGCCACTGTCCTGCATTGCAACACAGCAGGGTGCAGATGGAGAGTGGAGTGATGGGAGCTATGGTTGAGAAGGCGAGGAAGGAATAGGTAAAAGGTGGAGAGTAAGGCTGCATGGTTGTGTGGCGTGGCGTGCAACGTGACGGTGGCTGGGGGGTCAAATCAAGATGTTGCAGGCAGGCGCACAGTGCATGGATTGAACCAAACTCTCTATTGCCACGCATTTTAGCCACAAAGCACAGCAGAGAAGCGTGAGTGCACTATCCGCCACATGTGCAACAACACTGCTGCAAAAACAAGAAGAGAGCTGCCTCTGCCAGGGATGCCCTGTGACGACACGACACAAGCGATTTCAAGGGGCCAGCAAACGGGCGGCAAGGGGTTGGCGTGTGGGCGGCAAGGCAGAGGAAGGAGAGTGTCACCTCCAGGTCCGTGCGCAGTGCCAGCCGTCTGTGCCCCTGCCACACCGCCCGCTCCACAGATACTGCCAAGCTACGCCGCCCACCCGTTAACGCTGCGAGCTTGCCCGTGCCCGTGGAGGAGAGGGGGTCGGGCGGCGGGTCGTAAAAAAGCAGCTGGCTAGAGTCCGGGCAGATGCCAAAAACTTGTGATTCGCTGCCCGTGCGCGTCTAAGTGTCCCCAGCAACACAGCATATCAAAAACATGTTCGGCCAAAAAAAAGGAGAGGGGAAAAGAAAGGGGGAGGTGGCCTCGTGAGGAGCACACAGGAACGCAACCACGAAAGAATACAATGAAACAGTACGACGGTGGAATGATGCTGAGGAGGGTGAAAGAAAGTTTTAAGAGGCGGGTGAGGGGCGTACGAGGTGCGTGAGGGACGGATGAGCAAGGGGCGAACACGAACGTGTTCGCGTTCGCCCATGCACAAACACCTCTGTTCGGCGAACCGAACACTGTTCGGTTCGGCGAACACCTTAAGCAAAAACAGGTGTTCGCCGTTCGCCTATGAAGGCGTGTTCGGGCGAACCTCGAACACTGTTCGGCGAACACTTCAAGCAAAAAAAAATAACCTGTTCGGTTGGCCTCGAACGTGCATCCCTATGACCCCGAGGCTGACATTAATGGAGTAGAGGACATGACAAAGCTCAAATACCTACACGAGCCAGCGGTGCTTGAGAACATCGCCAAGCGATACCGCATTGACAAGATATACATGAGTCTCTCTTGACCTGACATGCCCTTCGCAGCGCTGCACTCACCAACACCCCAGCACTCACCCACACTCCAGCACTCACCCACACTCCAGCACTCACCCACCACACACACTCCAGCCAGCACTCACCCACACTCCAGCACTCACCAACACTCCAGCACTCACCAACACTCCAGCACTCACCAACACTCCAGCACCCACCAACACTCCAGCACCCACCCAACCACAGCGCCTCCTACCATTTTTCTATTGCCCCTCCCCCTTTTGTTGATGGGGATGAGCGTTTCTTGATTGGTGACTGCAGACATATACGGGGAACAACATCCTTATAGCAGTGAACCCGTTTCATCACATCCTTATTGCAGCGCTGCGAAGGGCATGTCAGGTCAAGAAAGACTCACGTATATCTTGTCAATGCGGTATCGCTTGGCGATGTTCTCAAGCACCGCTGGCTCGTGTAGGTATTTGAGCTTTGTCATGTCCTCTACTCCATCAATGTCAGCCTCGGAGTCATAAGGACAGGTGTTCGTTTTTTTGCTCAGGGACGTACGAGGTGGGTGAGGGGGTTGGAGGGGCAGTGCGTGAGCAGCATGGTCATCACTGCCTGCTTGTCCTTGCGCCTCCTCTCCCTGTAACCACACACCACGCATGCACCCACATGCACTCACAGACATGCGCACACGTACACGTACACACACACACACACACACACACACACACACAAACACAGAAAAACGCCACACACACACACACACACACAGAGACACAGACAGACAGACAGACACACACACACACACGCACGCACGCACGCACGCACGCACGCACGCACGCACGCACGCACGCACGCACGCACGCACACACACACACACACACACACGCACACACACACACAAACCGCACGTGAACACTCACACACACAGGAAGCATGCACACACACAAGGGCGCCAGGGAGTTGAAAGGACAGAGAGTAGGTGGGAGGCATACAGACACGGCCGGGTTGCTCCACGCGCAGGCAGCAAGCAATTGCAGTGCAGGAGAACAACTCAAACGGCTCGGTGGGCAGCTGACTGGCATGAGGGGGTCAGGCATGGGATGGCATTTGGCGGCAGTGTGCGCTGTGGGAGGCAGGCAGTGTGGTGTGGGCGGGAGTGTGGCATCGGCAGCCATGAGCACGTTAACCGCAGTGGTTCAACGCAGGGTGGCAATGACTTCAGCCCGCCCTGGGGGCCGCCACTGCAGTCTCCAGACCAACCCACACAAGGCCCACACAGCACTGTTGCAGCAGCCCCAATCCGTGGGCACGGCTCATGACGTCACCACAAGGGATGGCATGGTTGGCGCGAGGGAAAGGGAGGAGAAAGAGCCGCCCCGGGCCATGTGAGTCACATTCTGAGGCAGGGCGAGGGAATCGAGCTGACTTGAGTTGTGTGTGTTGACTCAAGAATCAGACTAAGGTCGAAAACACCTGAGCGAGTCGCTGACGCCAGCAGAGCTCTACCCTGACGTCAGCAGAGGTGTCTCTCTCTCACCTGTGGGCGTGCAGCGCGTGTGTGAGCGAGACATTGGCAATGACATCCCCGCTCACCAGAATAAAATCCCCGCGGATCTGATTCGCAGCCACACAAGTGGGAACAGGGTGGGGGGAGCACGGCAGGACAGGCAGGGTAGGGAACGCATTGCGGCAAGAGGGGCGCTCAATAGGATGACGCTCTATGGGGAGAAGTGCAAGCAGGGTGGCAAGATGGGGGACGGATGGAGTGACGGGAGGGACGCAGCTTGAACTGACCACCAACACCCAATGCCGACTTGATGCAAGCTTGCATGCAACTCTGGTCCGCTTCATCAGCACCGAGTGAGAGAATGCATGATGCTGACCTGATGGCGATGCCATGAACCAGCAGCATGCCATGACTCACCACGCCCTTGTGGTCCATGCCATGACTCACCACGCCCTTGTGGTCCATGTCATGCCATGACTCACCACGCCCTTGTGGTCCATGTCATGCCATGACTCACCACGCCCTTGTGGTCCATGTGTCGGAGTGCGTCCCCCACACTGACACAGTCATGCGCCACCACCGTTGACACGCGCATCCCGTGCCGCTGCCCGCCGCCCCCCTGCTGGTGGTGCGAGGAGGAGGAGGGGCGCATCCAGCCCGCATCCTCCAGGTGCGCTCGGATCTGATGGGGTGGCCGTGGCGGAGGGCAATGGCGCATGGACATGGAGCATGGCAATGCAGGTCAATGCAAGTCAACATGGTCAACACATGCCAATGCAAGTCAGCACACATGTCAAAGGGGGTGCGCGCACCAGGGAGTGTGAGCACCTGGGGGGAGTGGCGCACCTGAGGGGAGTGGGGAGAAGTGCGCGCACCTGGGGAGAAGTGCGCGCACCTGCGCGAAGAGGAGAGGCGCGCGCACCTGTTGGGAGTGGCGCACCTGTTGGGAGTGGCGCACCTGTTGGGAGTGCGCGCAGCAGAAGACGAAGGTCTCCTCGACGCCCACCATGGCGAGCCACTCGAGCGTGTAGTCCACCATCGCTGCGCCCGCCACTGGTAGCAGCACCTGCCGCGAGTGGGGTGGAGGGGGAGGAGGTGGAAGGGGGGGGGTGGAGTTGGGACGGGCAGGCGGGACTGCTTCACTCGAGCGTGTAGCCCACCATCGCTGCGCCCGCCACTGGTAGCAGCACCTGCGCAACGCATGAAGATGAGGGAGGAGGAGGGGGGGGAAGGGGGAAAGGGGGAGCGGGGGAGGGGGAGCGGGGGGGAGGGGGGAGGGGAGGGGGAGGGATGTTTCGGAGAGTGCTTTGGAGAAGGGCGAGGGGTTCTTAAGTCGAGCGTGTAGTCCACCATCGCCGCGCCCGCCACTGGCAGCAGCACCTGCGCGCCGCAGGGGGGAGGGGAGGTGGAAGGGGAGGGGGAGTTTTGAGGGGGTTATGGAGGAGAGAAAGGGGTGCTTGTGTCGCGCGTATAGTCCCCCATCGCCGCGCGCGCCACTGGCAGCAGCACCTTGGTGTAGCAGCACAATCACGTATACGCCGGTGATGGTGACGGATAGCGGATGACGGGTGGTGTGGTGGATATACGCGGACAACCACTGCTGCCAGATCCACACCGACCAGCTGCGCTACAACATGCTTCGATACAGCGCACTGTGATTTGAATCTCCAGGTAAGGAGCGTGAGTGTCAGGGGTTTAACAACCGCTTGGTTGCCGCGATCGCCCACCTTGGGTTTGCGCAGCGTGATTGGTCGGAATGTCTGCGCGAAGCTGTCAGCCAATAATATGGCTTGCAGCGGCACGTGCGCCTCCTCCGCCATTCCCGCTGCCCCATCTTTTCCGCCACCTCCTCGCCGCTGCACCATCGTCCGGTCACCGGATGACGGCAACTTGAAAGGCAAAACGTTAAGCGAAGATCAAACGGAGACTCGTATGATGGCCGAACTCTATATAGAGGATAATAATATCCTGAAATTGTGAGGCCTCCTATTCCCGCAACCTAATCCCACCTTGGTGGTGTGAGTTCAGCGGGATCCTCGATCAGCTAGCGGGGGGAAATACTAATAATTATAGAGATTATACACGTTTTCTGTAAATTTTTACGGGCCCTTGATTTCCTAGAGCCTTCCTAGACCCGTGCCACGAGCCGAGCCGATGCAGTGCACCGCGAATTGCAACATGCCGTTAGATTCAACTGGATCACGAAAAACCTAGGTGGTATACCCCTTACAGCACAACCAGCTTTTTGAATAAGATTTCAGGTGCGCTCAAGTTCGTTGTGCAACTTCAATTTCATATTTATCCCATTGTCAACAAAGTCTCTATGTTTTGATAATTTCCTGTTCTTCATGAATTGGAAAGCATGCATTCTACTAGTGGTTACAACAAACATTTCCGTGACACCCATAGCATGTTCACATGTTCACATTTCAAGGCAGGTAACAAGTTCAATCGCTTAAAGCTCCAGTATCACGCCTGTCAACACACAACGATCAGCAGCAATACATACATAAGACTTGTTGGCTCCCCCATGTGAGGGACGTCGTGACTGGAAGGGATAGGCCATATTCCACTTGTGTACAGGAGCACCTTTGCCAAAACAGCAGAGCTGCTTTAAGACATAATTTGATTTGAATTTTTCATGACATCAGTTCCCCTTATCAGCTTCCCTGACCCCGACTCAATGTGACACATGTGACTCTGCAAGGTCAGTCCTAGCACTTCCTGCTGACACAGGTGAGCGAGGTCAAGCCAATGAGAGCCAATGGCTGATACATGGGCGATGGGAGTCGGACACCATATGGGTATCAGAAAACAGATGCATGACGCATGAAAAGTGGCGATCAAGCCTGATGTACGAGACATAAAAAGAGCGGCATATGGCATGGGAAATGAAAACGTCAGAGCCTGATGCATGGGAAATAGGAATTGGCTTTTTAGTGCGAGGAAACTGAGACTGAATCATGAATGCATGAATATGAAATAAGGCAGTATCTCCTTTTGCGTGCATGAAAAGTGGGAATCAGATGCCTTATGCATGTGAAATGGGATGTGATGCCAAATGCATGGAGAAGGGGATTAAGATGCCTGATACATGGATGATTGGAATGAGATACACGATGCATGCTGGGTGGGGAGTTATAGTCAGATATCGAATGCACAGGAAATGGAAAACTGATACTGAATGCACAGGAAATGGAAAACTGATATCGAATGCACAGGAAATGGAAAACTGATACTGAATGCACAGGAAATGGAAAACTGATATCGAATGCACAGGAAATGGAAAACTAATATCGAATGCACAGGAAATGGAAAACTGATACCGAATGCACAGGAAATGGGAAACTGATATCGAATGCACAGGAAATGGAAAACTGATACCGAATGCACAGGAAATGGAAAACTGATATCGAATGCACAGGAAATGGAAAACTGATATCGAATGCACAGGAAATGGAAAACTGATACCGAATGCACAGGAAATGGAAAACTGATATCGAATGCACAGGAAATCGGAAACTGATACCGAATGCACAGGAAATGGAAAACTGATACCGAATGCACAGGAAATGGAAAACTGATATCGAATGCACAGGAGGAAATGGAAAACTGATATTGAGTGCACAGGAAATGGAAAACTGATACTGAATGCACAGGAAATGGGAAACTGATATCGAATGCACAGGAAATGGGAAACTGATATCGAATGCACAGGAAATGGAAAACTGATATCGAATGCACAGGAAATGGGAAACTGATATCGAATGCATAGGAAATGGAAAACTGATATCGAATGCACAGGAAATGGAAAACTGATGTCGGATGCACAGGAAATGGAAAACTGATATCGAATGCACAGGAAATGGAAAACTGACACCGAATGCACAGGAAATGGAAAACTGATATCGAATGCACAGGAAATGGAAAACTGACACCGAATGCACAGGAAATGGAAAACTGATATTGAATGCACAGGAAATGGAAAACTGATACTGAATGCACAGGAGATGGGAAACTGATATCGAATGCACAGGAAATGGGAAACTGATATCGAATGCACAGGAAATGGAAAACTGATATCGAATGCACAGGAAATGGGAAACTGATATCGAATGCACAGGAATTGGAAAACTGATATCGAATGCATAGGAAATGGAAAACTGATATCGAATGCACAGGAAATGGAAAACTGATGTCGGATGCACAGGGAATGAAAAACGTAGCCGAATGCACAGAAAAAATGTAATCTAGATGTCAAATGTAGGGCGCAAATGTTTCAACAAGAAAGAGTAGGAAATGTAGGGCGATCTGGTGCATTCTGAGCGGCAGCCTCAAGAGTGTTCACCAACCCAGCATGATATCCAAGCCCCATGACACCATGACACCCCTCCCAGCCCAGGATGCTATTTGAAGAACAGTGCATGGAATTCGATGTAAAATGCCTGATGCAATTGAAAGATGAATGAGATGCGTGATGCATATGCCATATGGTAAAAGGAAATCAGGTGCGTGAATGAGATGCGATATGGAATGCAAACCAGAAGACTGGCGCATGGAAAATCGAAACCAGATGCCCTTTGCATGGTAAATTCGAATCTGATGCTTGATGTGATGGTAACAATAGGAATTTGGAATCCGTGCGCATGGGAACCGGGCAGGAATCACATGCTTGATGTCTATGGAATGGGGATCAGACACATGTTACATGAAAAGTGGGAAATCAATACATGATGCATGAAATCAAATCAGATGCCTGATGCATGGGAAATGAAGATCAGCTACTGCGTGCATGCGTGCATGAAATGTGGGAATCAGCGGCTTGATGCACGGACAACGAGAATGAGATAATTGAGGGGATATAAAGGAAAGCAATGCCTTATGCATGAAGAAAGATGATCAGATGCCTGTGGAGAGAGCACTAGAGCACTAGGAAGCGAGATTCAGATGACCAACGAAACGGGTTTTGGGAATGAGAAGCTTGACGGATGGGAGTTGAGAGTCAGATGTCCTTTGCATGCCTGAGAAGTGGGAATCAGATGAGGTATCCATGGAACATGTGTATGAGATGCCTGATGCATGGGAAATAGGAGTGAGATGCTTGATGCATGGGAAATGGGACTGATGCATGGGATGGGAAACACAACGCGCAACTCTCAAGAAAGTAACACAAGATATGCATGTGGATGTGAACCACTCATATTCAAGGACTTCAAATTACATATTTATGGAGCTTGTTCACACAGCAGCAAGCAGCCAATATCAGAAAGCCAGATTTCGGTTTAAATATACACTTTACATGAATATGTACACAATTGTGCAACAATAGATTGAGCAAACATCTATTTCCACCTACGGATCTGAGATAGTTTTTTCTGTAGGCTGTTTGTGCAGCCTGACTTATTTACCACTTGTCCTCCTTGTTCTTCCCTGCGACCCCTTCTGCACTGCTTGCCTCAGAGGCGCCACACGAGCAGCACTGGCACTGGCCGAGGCAGGACCTGCTGTTGGTTTCACTGCAGGCTTGCAAGCTGCAGCTTTGGCTGCAGGCTTGGGAGCTGCAACTTTGACTGCAGGCTTGGGAGCTGCAGCCTTGACTGCAGGCTTGGGAGCTGCAGCCTTGACTGCAGGCTTGGGAGCTGCAGCCTTGACTGCAGGCTTGGGAGCTGCAGCCTTGACTGCAGGCTTGGGAGCTGCAGCCTTGACTGCAGGCTTGGGAGCTGCAGCCTTGACTGCAGGCTTGGGAGCTGCAGCCTTGACTGCAGGCTTGGGAGCTGCAGCCTTGACTGCAGGCTTGGGAGCTGCAGCCTTTGCTGCAGGCTTGGGAGCAGCAGCCTTGGCTGCAGGCTTGGGAGCAGCAGCCTTTGCTGCTGGCTTGGAAGCTGCAGCCTTTGCTGCTGGCTTGGAAGTAGCTGCAGATGATGCAGAAATAGCAGCAGCAGCTGTGGCAGCAGCGGCACTCACAGCGTCAGCAGCGGCACGCACTCACAGCGTCAGCAGCAGCAACCACAGCATCAGCAGCTGAACCCACAGCAGAAACAACAGCACCCATAGCTGCAGCAGCAGCCCGGGCCACAGCAGGTCTCAACCGCGAAAAGCCTAAAGGAGCACGAAATTCCCGCTTGCTGCTCACTTCAGCAAACCTGCCAACCCTGTACGCCACAGCAGCTGATGTCATAGGCTTCAGCTTTGGCGACAGCAGCAGCCTGTCACCCTCACTCGGTGCTGAGAAGCACCTGAGAGTCGTGTCTCTCAGATATGCTTCATCAGCGTCCGTCCAGTTGGTGATGAACTCAGAGGGGTCCACCTGCGAGTTTTCTGCCAGCCATTCGCAGTCACTCTCACTGTCACCAAGGCTGAGAACACCAGTTCTCAGGTACGCCTCATCAGCAGCTGTCCACACTGTGATAAATTCAGCAGGGTCAACCTGCGCATTCTCACCCAGCCACTCGCAGTCATCCTCACTGACACGACGGCTGAGAGCACCATTTCTCAGGTATGCCTCATCAGCAGCCGTCCACTCAGCAGTGATGAACTCACTAGGGTTCACCGAATTGTAATCCGCCAGCAGCAGCAGCGGCAGCAGCTCATCTTCGTCATTCCGAGCTGAGCTGCTCTTGACAGAGCCGCTTCTCAACTCTATTTCATCCGCATCAGTCCACTCCGTCAGCCATTCAAACGGAGTGGAGCTTGCTGGCGAGCAGGCTAACCAGCTCGGAACGTCCCAAATGTATCGTGCAGCGTCGCCAAAGCAAGCGGCAGCAGCAGCAGCCAAAGCAAGTGCGGACTCGGGGTGCAACGCCATTCGATCAGCAGGAGTTTCAAGGCGGTTTTCAACCAAGACCAAGAGCAGGGGATGAAAAGATCGCAACGGGTGTGACTCTAGGAAAACTTGAGCAATCGAGGTGTGACTGAAGAAGAACAGTCACACTTCCACTTGTAAGCTCACAGTTAGCCGAGGGAAGCAAGTGTCCGTTTGCCTCCTCACCGTTCGTAGGCCGCACAACCAGGCAGCGCGGTTCGGGTTGGGTTCGGTGTGGCTCTAGCTTCGGGATCCCGCCAATGTGGGAGCCTTCTTAGGCTCGATCCCCCGCTGTCGGAGCCCCACGCTCCCTCCGAAATTTTAGCAATGGTTGCTTTCCAGCGCATTATGATGAATCAGCTCGATCGACAGTCATTGGAGGTCCACGCTCGTTTTAGAACTTCAACAACGGTTCAGATTTATCGACCAAGACATCCCCTTGCCAGCGCATTCACGTGGATGACGTGAAATGAGCTGGCGGGGAAGGAAAAGCAGTGGCTGGGATGCAATCGAAAGGGTGGAAACACTCTACGGATTCCGGAACCGTCAATGGCACCGACATTACAGCGCATGCACATGATTGCACCGACATTATTGACCTGAACCGCGTATAGCGCACCTCCGACGTGGATCCACTCATGACTTGCCGCGTCACGTGACAGATGAGCCCGCGGTGCTTTCCTAAGAGGTGACGGTGGCTGACGAGAAGAACCAAGAGCCATGTTAATCATGTGACGTCTGGACGCCCTACATACTCCAGCAGAAAATCTACGCCGTTTAGTGTTCGATGAGAGAGGGAAGCTGGGGCGGCTGTCTTAGTGAGAAGCAAGGGGATAGGGATGGCGAGGATCCGGCTGGTGCACGAAACCCTAGGTGCCCACCCCTTACAGCA